AGGGGCGAGGAGGGAAGGGGGAGGAGGAGGCACGGAACGAGGGCAAAGGGAGGGAGGACGGGCGAACGCAAACGAGAGGAGAGGGATAGAAGGGCGGAGAGGATGGCAAGAAGAGGAGGAAAGACGAGGAAATAGAGGAGGGCGAGCCAGCAGGACGGTGGCAGGAGGGTGAGGAAGAGAAGAGCAGCGAAGCGGAGATGCAGAGGAGTAAGGCAGCCGAGAAAAGGATAGGGGGAGACAGGAGAGGAAGAGAGGGGGGAAGAGGGGAGAGTGAGGAGAAAGGAAGAACAGGAGGAGGGTGGGGAGGAGCAAAACAGGGATCACAGCAGGAACGGGAATCACGGGAGGAAGAGGGTGGGAAGAGCAGGAAACGGCAGCAAGACTGCGGGAAAAGGAGGACTGCGGGAGTCGAGAACAAAAACGAGGGGCAAAGGAGGACGGGAGAAGAAGGATGGAGGGGCAGAGGACCAGGAGAGAGGAGAACGAAGTGGAGAGAGAACAAGGGGAGAAAGCGATGGGGGAGGGCGGAGTATAAGAGGAAAGAGGTGGAGGAGGGCCGCTCAACTTCGTGGTTAGGCGAACCGATTTCGACAGCTAAAAATGTCCAAATGTTATGACCAGAACGCGCCGCAAAAGGAGCAAATGACCGTTTGGGTTGCCGTGCCTTTCCTGTGATGGTTAAGCCCGTGTGGTTTGCAGAGTGCGCACCAGTTCGGAGTGTCATTTGCTGTCAGTTTAAGCCGGCTGCTGTTGTTCGCTGTGTGCTGGACCCCACGTGCCACATGAGCTGGCGAGCAGCGGACAGATCTGTCTGTAACTTGCTGTCCTCTGGACCTAACCAAGCTTCATCCACGAACATTCAACACAGCAGAAGCTTCATCCACGAACATGCAACACAGCACACTGTACTTCTCTCACGGAAGCGTACGTGCTTATCGAGCATGCATACATTAGCGTCTGCCCCCAGCCTCTCGTATCGAAGGACTACCAAAACGAGACCTGATGATGTGAGGCGTTACACGCAGTTGGCACGTAGCGTCACTAGCGGGTCGAGAGAGCTTAAGGGCGAGGGTGCGCTCGGAACGAACCACATTGTAAATGTAGAGAACCACCGACTGGGAAACACCGACTGACAGCGGTCAGCATACTACTGAAGCAGTCACTATTCTTTTTCTGCTGGTTTCATTCCCAGAGAGTAGTCGCTGGAACAGGTAATAGCGGAGATTCGATGGGCCCACCACAATCCGAATGTAATAGATTCAGAGAAGTCCATCCTCCATAGCCAGACGTTGGCCGAGACCACAGCCAGAGAGACACAAAGCCGCATCTACCGGGAAACGGGAAGGCAAGGGAGTTGTCATCGCCAGCCACAGCCACATGGTTCTTCCACCGCGCCATTGCTGGGACATAACATCGCCAGCCACAGCCACATGGTTCTTCCACTGCACTATTGCTGGGATATAACATCATCTTCGCAACTATAGTTCTGAGTTAATTCTGAATTGCCATTTCCCCCCCCCGCTCCTGCCTAGACGTCTTCGTCTAACTCTGATGATGGCATTAACAATCCTCATTAACAATCCTCATAAACAATCCTCATTAACAATCCTCGAGTACGTACACACGCAAAGACTCCTTGGAAAACCCTAAAACGCAACAGGCTGGTACTTGAAGTACCCCTACCACAGTAGTCGACCCTGAGCCACAATAATGTGAACCATTTGCGACCCCATGGACAGGAGATGCCTTGATCCAACGACAACAACTGCATTTATCATCAATCGATAACTGGCGGCTAACCGCAACAAGATATCGCCAGCATGCCAGCTGGCAACAACATGGCCGCAAGACGCCTTCGTGAAGGCGCTGCACCCACCCGCAAACAAACCTATAGCTGCTAACACCAAGAGTATACAGCCAGCCAATATGCCAATCAGTTGGGATGGGTCTTACCTGTGAAACGAAATGCTTTCCAACGGCCGTGAGCAGCTGCTCCTTGGACGAGTTGGGCCCAATTTCAACCTGTTCAAGTATGAACACCACCATCACCACCACCATGAGCCACAAGTCAACTTCCCCAAAACATGCGTCGACACAAGGCCTGCAACACAAGTCATCCAACCCCTTCCCAGAGAAACCCCTCGCAAATTGCCATCCTCCCTCTCTCTCTCTCTCTCTCTCTCTCTCTCTCTCTCTCTCTCTCTCTCTCTCCTC